GGGGGGGTTAAAATATGTTATATATATATAAACACTGTATTTAGCTGTTTAACCCCATGATCAATAATTAAAGCTCAAATTTCCATACATCTATCCTATGGATATTTAGTTCACCTGGTTCAAAGGACTGTGGAGCTTATGTCACGACACAGTGTCCGTCAACTTTTCCTTAAAAACGATACTACAGGTAGTCCTGAACAGCTTATTGGATTTCAACTTAATTTGGCCTGGAGGCAGAGGGGTCAGAGCCAATAGGGAGAACATAGTGATAAATGTTTAAAATCCTTCTTCTGTATGAGTTGAGGAATTTGAACCAAATTTGGTCTAGTATATATCCTAGGGCAAAGGGGAGTGAATTTTGTATAAATATAAATATACTAAGAACCATTTGGACTAGAGTCATGATACTTGGGTATATAAAACATATTATATATATATACACTATACCGAGTGTATGAAACATATTATATATATATACACTATACCGAGTGTATAAAACATCTTGTATATATACACTATACCGAGTGTATTAAACATATTGAATATATACACTATATCGAGTGTATAAAACATGTTGTATATATATACACTATACCGAGTGTATAAAACGTTGTATATATACACTATACCGAGTATATAAAACATATTGTATATATACACTATACCGAGTGTATAAAACATGTTGTATATATACACTATACCGAGTGTATTATATATACACTATATACCGGGTGTATAAAACATGTTGTATATAAATATATAAAACTTGAAGAGCCCCAGAAGGGTGAAAGCAGCTTGTTTTTTAGTCGGTCTAAGATCTTATTTTTTCTATACTTACTTAACTTCACATGGACATTTAATCCTTGTTTATTATAAAACCTATTTTTGAAGCCTGCTTTTCTATGTGTTCAGAATTTATGTGTACTAGAATGGATGTAATAAAATATATATAGAATATCAGCATCTCATTTCATCAGCAGTTATTAGGATGGAAATAAAGGAAGCGCACCAGTACATAATCTTTTCCCGTGTTTTCCAGTCTGCTAGACTCCAGCGTGTGACCAATAGTCGCGATGGCCGTCTTCTGTCCCCATCACACCGCCTTCCACCTGTCAAACCAAAGAAGAAGGTGACCAAACGTTGTTTTGTGTGTGGCAAAAAAACAGGACTTGCCACAAGCTACATTTGTAGGTAAGAATCAGGTCAGCTAAACTGACGCGAGTGATAGACCAAGTGATTCACATTGTTGTGTTTCCAATTCAGGTTATCAAAAAGTTGAGTGGGTTAGTAAGGTAACTGAAACCTTTCATTTTGCTATTTATTTTTTAGCTCATGTGCCTTGGGGGCAGTGCGATCAGTTTGTAATATGATATCCCATTATACTAATAATAAACGAGTGTGATCTGTATCGATCCTGTACTAATTCTTACAGGCATTTTCACTGGATTAAATTTTAGCTCACCTGCCCTAAAGGATTAAATGAATGACCTGGGCCCACTTGTATAAAACATCTCAACTCTCTTGAGATTTCATCAAGTCTAAGATTTCCCATAGACAATACATTGCTTGAGATTAACTTTGAGATGTTTTATACAAGTGGGCCCTTGAGTCACAGGGGTCAAGTATGGGAAAAAAACCTTGAAACTGTTTCTTCTAAATAACCAGGAGGCCAAGGGTGTTTATGTGTAGTCATTTGCAGACTGTTTTAAGTTCCCTCAAATAAACTACCTTAAGATATATTCAAGGCCACAGGGGTCAAATGTGTTTGAAACATTAAAAAAAAACTTCATCCGATAAACCAAGAGGCTTGTAGCTGCATTTTTGTGCAGTTTTATATTTTATGTAAAAAAAAAAATTAAAAAAAAATCTCTCTCTCTCTCTCTCTCTCTGCAATCTGTTTTTACGCAAAATTGGCAGAGCTTGAGCTGTTCTGCGGTCCAACCTGATCGACACACGACAATGTCCAACTAACTTCAGATTTGTCTTATGCCATGTATTTCTTAAACTATTGATCTGGATCTCACAAAGTCAATTTTGCAGGGTTTTACTGTAATTATTTACTTTTGTCTGTATAAAAAACAAATATATCTTAGTGAAAAATTATTTCATCTCTGAATTTTGAGTGAATTTGATGAAGAAACTGACCGGTTATTTGGCCTTATGTAACTTCAACATTGTATTACTTGCAGGTGTGGAAATAACTTCTGTGCGACACATCGTTATGCAGAGTCTCATGAATGTACATTCGACTACAAGACAGAGGGCCGCAAGCTACTAGAACAGAGTAATCCGGTCGTCAGTGCGCCCAAGCTTCCAAAGATATAACTCAGGATTCTACCAGCTTTTGTATCGCAATTGTCCGAACATTTGGTTTTGTAATTCTCTCCTTGTTGCACTTGTGTGTTGTCTCTCTCTCTCTCTCTCTCTCTCTCTCTCTCTCTCTCTCTCTCTCTCTCTCTCTCTCTCTCTCTCTCTCTTTCTCGATCCCTCTCCTACTTAATTACCGTCGTACTGACTGCTTTGTTTCTAAGGAACATTTAATTGTGATATTGTTAGATGACCAAGGTACCCCAGCGCTGATCAGTGCCGATTACCTACTACTACATACACTGGCGTGTACACGGAAACTGAAGGTACACATCGGCTGGAATATTTTTTTTAAGTCTTTATTTCAGATTTTTGTCTCAGTGATGATGACAACAAACTCTTCGTCTATGATGAAATCTTTTTACATAAAGATTTGGCTCATTGTTAAGAGAGGAGATTTCTGTGAGGGGAGGAAACCCCCAAGTCATTTTCAAGTGGAATTGAGGAGATTGAGGAGATTTTCTGTGTTCTTGTAGTGTTCTAGCTAACAGGTGAAGTGCCTGATTATTTTGGAATGTTCTGATGACGATGATTGTGATAGCTTACATTTTATATTTTTATCAGTCTTTCATGTTTTCCCACAGTATAGGGAGTTGTTTATTAAGTGTATGCATCATTGTTTTACTCCTTTAAAATGGATGTTTCATTTTTCCCTATTTTACTACATTTTATTTATATTTTTTTTAGAAATATGAAATAACCCTAGGTATCTTAATTTCTGCTCTATGCAGAGCCATAATAAATACATATACCTTCAATGAAAACTCCCTTTGTCTCAATTCTGTTAAATGTTTTTCACAGTCCACACTGTTTAGTTCTAAAATATAATGATCATAATGAAAGGACTTTTGTCTAAAAGATCAAAAGTTCTTTAAAGGTCAGGATAACTTGGAGGATTTTTCACAGTATGTTATGCCAAGCCATGGATTTTAATTTTGTCGCTCTCATGTCTAAAATAAGAAAGTGCTTTTTATTGACAACAGACTTTGTTATCTTTAGCTTTATGGGCTCACAGTATTCATGTTTTTTTACATATTTTCAATTTTATTGTAAAGGTCCAGGTCCAAATTTGTTTCAGACTTTTTTAACTACTGAAAAACAATACCCCCAGACAAAAAGAAATGTAAATTTCATCATACAATAAACAGTAAAATTGGTAGCTTGAAAAGTAAGTTCTTTTAGCTCACCTGGTCCAAGGGGCCCAGTGAGCTTATGCCGTGGTTAGTCGTCCGTTCATCCGTCGTCAATATTTTACTTTAAACAATTAATTCTGAATAACCAAAATGCCAAGGGTGATGATATTTAGCTGGTAGCATGCTGGGATGAAGGGCTACCAAATTTGTTCAAATGAATGACAATCACTTGTATTCAAGGTCACAGGGGTCAATTGGTCAATTGTCTTAAAAAGCCTTTAAACAACTTCTTAATAACCAAAAGAATCAGTATGGTGATATTTGGTCAGTAGCATGCTGGAATGAAGGGCTACCAAATTTGTTCAAATAAATTACCTTTGCCCATGTTCAAGGTCACAAGGGTCAAATATGTTAAAAACTTTAATCAACTTCTTCTGAATAACCAAAACTCCCAGGGTTATAATATTTGGCCCATAACATGATAGGACAAAGGGCTACCAATTTGTTTAAATGAATGACCTTGACATTTATCCAAGGTCACAGGGATCAAATATGTTTAAAATCTTGAAACGACTTCTGAATAACCAAAAGGCCCAGGATGTTGATATTTGGCAATTAACATGCTAGGATGAAGGGCTACCAAGTTTGTTAAAGTGAATGACCTTGACCCACTTTCAAGGTCACATTTGGTCAAATATGTATAAACATTTAAATGACCTAATCTCAATAAACTAAAGAATAGGGTGGTGATATAAGTTGCATCCTGAGATGAAGGGCTATAAAATGTGTTCAACGTGATGAACTTGTTCGACTTTCAAGGTCACTGAGGTGAAATGTTTTTAAATCTTTTAACAGGTTCTTTTAAATGACTTATAGTCATAACTACTGATATTTTGCCTTTAGCTTTAGTTTAGATCACTTTTGAGGTTACATAAGATTGAGATTTAATACCAGGTGAGCGATGCAGGCCTATTGTTTTAATTCTCGATATAAACAGTCTTAAAAAATACGCCATAACCAAACATTAATTATGTTTGTCAGGTTTTTTTTGTTTTTTTGTTTGTTTTGTTTATTCTATATTAGATATATGGCTTAGGTCCTAAAATTTGTTATGATGCCTTTATTCAAACAACATTTACATACGAATAGGTTTTTGCTGCATTTTTATATTGCGTAACAGAGATGCCTATTTCATTATATTATCTATACCGACAGACCATTGAAAATAAAACCACAGACCAATAGAATATATTGACCCAATCTATAACCATAACTTGATGGTATGACTGATTCGAAATTTGAAAATTCTCTGAAAATTTTATGTTCACAATTTCAAATTTGACATTATTTATTGGATTTATTTTGATACAAACATATAAGTATTTAGAGATCAGATCCTTGTGCAGTAAGAATTTGTAGTAGCGAGTGAGGTGTCCATTAATGCAATGAATGCTTCTCTATAAGATATTCAACAGGTGACAAATTCTTTGTGGATCTTTTCTAGCTTAACTCATTCACCCCTGAAATTTCATAATGAACTATTCTATCCTTTGAATTGGAAGAGTTCAAATGTGTCTTCAGGGGTGAACGAGTTCAACTGATATGATGAGGAATAGCAGCTGTACTGTTAAGAAAGATCACTCATCAGCATTAGACCAATGGTAAACCCTTACTCCCGTTATTTCCCTTTAGGGATTAAACACAGGAATAAAAAAGGGATAAAAAAGAAGAAAAAAAAATCATTTGTAGCCTGCCTTGATAGCTATGTCATCATTCTCTGATCAAGATGGACGATACCTCTCTGATTATCACAATATTAAACCATTAACGAGAAAACAAGATAACTGGAGGGCAAACATATACATATAATGATGTATTTGAAAACTTGACGGAGAACATTTGCAACATTTGCAAGTGGAATTACAGCGATACAATTTAGTTTAACACTCTGGGTATTATTTAATGTTAGTTCCATACTAGCTGGTGTAACATGTCGAAAATCATTCCATTTTAAATTAAAGACGTGCTTCTGTGATTTGTTGATTTTAATGTACTTTATATGTTGAATTCTATTAAATCATGATGGATGGTGGATGCATTTCAGTTTTAAGAAATGTGTGATGTTTTTAAATAACAATATACTCATAATTCCCGTCAAGATTTGCATATATTGTCAATTATAAATAAGTCATTATCCTTGCTTGTTATTTTAAGCAGTGCCAAAGAGGATTATAAGTTTCCCACTAAAATTTACAAAACTTGGACGAGATGGCTAATTGTGAAACAAAATTTCAGATAAAAGGATAAATATACGTCCATGATGTTAAATTAATGTGTAGTTAATGAATGTTACATTTTAACATAAAATAAAATAAAAAGTTGAACTTATTTACCTTCAAAATGGGTAATAATGCTGACCAATCAGGGAGCATGTTACGTAATGGTTTGGTGCAAACATTTAATAGCTCTGTTATGTCTGAAACTCTGCTAATAAATAGCATTGTAAGTATGTTGTGATTGGAGAAATCATGAAACAAAGAAGTACTATTTTTTTTGTTTTCTGTTACTTAGTGATAGAGAATGTTAGCAATAACTGACTTTAAATGTGTGTCTACTCACCCAGGGGGGCTAACTCTCCCAAGTTACTTCCCCTGTTTTACGTGTTTATGTAAGGTGCATACCTCGTATGCATTGGGTGTAACTCGTGGACAGATAATTGAGTGTGGAATAAACAAGTTGACTATAAGTTACATGTTTTATCTTATCATTATGAAATAAGTACTGGGCTGATGCTGTTCAACCGATAACTGGATGAGGAGTCCATCCGGAGTTCAAAGGTAACAGCAAGTAATATGTGCTTGTGGGTAGAAGATGTCTAAACCTTATAGTTTTAAATAGTGTTATCCTCTCAAACCAAGGTTAACAAAAAGAAGGAAGATGTGTTGAAAACCTAGATTGGATTTAATATAATAATATAAACTTTATATATTTTACAACAATTATGAAACAAGTTTTTACAGCTTATACTAATTATATATAATCACTATTGTACCGAATGTGAGAGCGCGGGGGGTCTTATTGTGGGAGGAAACCCGAGTAGCCAGAGAAAGTCCATATGGTCGGGCAGGTGCCCCCATACCTTGAAGGAAACCGGAGTAGCCAGAGAAAGTCCACATTGTCGGGCAGGTGACCCCATACCTTGAAGGAAACCGGAGTAGCCAGAGAAAGTCCACATTGTCGGGCAGGTGCCCCCATACCTTGAAGGAAACCGGAATACCCAGAGAAAGTCCACATTGTCGGGCAGGTGACCCCATACCTTGGAGGAAACCGGAGTAGCCAGAGAAAGTCCACATTGTCAGGCAGGTGCCCCCATACCTTGAAGGAAACCGGAATACCCAGAGAAAGTCCACATTGTCGGGCAGGTGACCCCATACCTTGAAGGAAACCGGAGTAGCCAGAGAAAGTCCACATTGTCGGGCAGGTGCCCCCATACCTTGAAGGAAACCGGAATACCCAGAGAAAGTCCACATTGTCGGGCAGGTGACCCCATACCTTGGAGGAAACCGGAGTAGCCAGAGAAAGTCCACATTGTCAGGCAGGTGCCCCCATACCTTGAAGGAAACCGGAATACCCAGAGAAAGTCCACATTGTCGGGCAGGTGACCCCATACCTTGAAGGAAACCGGAGTAGCCAGAGAAAGTCCACATTGTCGGGCAGGTGCCCCCATACCTTGAAGGAAACCGGAATACCCAGAGAAAGTCCACATTGTCGGGCAGGTGACCCCATACCTTGGAGGAAACCGGAGTAGCCAGAGAAAGTCCACATTGTCGGGCAGGTGACCCCATACCTTGGAGGAAACCGGAGTAGCCAGAGAAAGTCCACATGGTCGGGCAGGTGCCCCCATACCTTGGAGGAAACCGGAGTAGCCAGAGAAAGTCCACATTGTCGGGCAGGTGACCCCATACCTTGGAGGAAACCGGAGTAGCCAGAGAAAGTCCACATTGTCGGGCAGGTGACCCCATACCTTGGAGGAAACCGGAGTAGCCAGAGAAAGTCCACATTGTCGGGCAGGTGACCCCATACCTTGGAGGAAACCGGAGTAGCCAGAGAAAGTCCACATGGTCGGGCAGGTGCCCCCATACCTTGGAGGAAACCGGAGTAGCCAGAGAAAGTCCACATTGTCGGGCAGGTGACCCCATACCTTGGAGGAAACCGGAGTAGCCAGAGAAAGTCCACATTGTCGGGCAGGTGACCCCATACCTTGGAGGAAACCGGAGTAGCCAGAGAAAGTCCACATTGTCGGGCAGGTGACCCCATACCTTGGAGGAAACCGGAGTAGCCAGAGAAAGTCCACATTGTCGGGCAGGTGACCCCATACCTTGGAGGAAACCGGAGTAGCCAGAGAAAGTCCACATTGTCGGGCAGGTGACCCCATACCTTGGAGGAAACCGGAGTAGCCAGAGAAAGTCCACATTGTCGGGCAGGTGACCCCATACCTTGGAGGAAACCGGAGTAGCCAGAGAAAGTCCACATTGTCGGGCAGGTGACCCCATACCTTGGAGGAAACCGGAGTAGCCAGAGAAAGTCCACATGGTCGGGCAGGTGCCCCCGTACCTCAGAGTACCTAGAGAAAGTCCAACACTTTGTCAGGACCATGAGTTGATCATTCATTCCAAGTTTAAGTTAAATCGACCCAGTAGAACTTTACTTTAAGTTTGAAATAGTTTTTCAAAATGGCGGCCGTTGTAGCCATATTGGATTTCTGATCGACACGAAAAAATAACACTTGGTCAGGGAGTTGTCAGTAACATCCCCATGAAGTATCAATGAAATCCCATAGACAGTATTTCAGCTTAAGTTGAAAATGTAAAATGTTAATGGACGACGGACAAAGACGGAAAGCAAAAGGTCACTTGAGCTAAGGCTCAGGTGACCTTAAAAGGTACTACTGTACCAAATTCTTACACTCAAAAGATGTATGTAGGATGGATCTGCCCCATACCACAATTGGGTATGTACACCTAAGGTTAAGGTCATATTTAGGTCAAAGGTCAAATTTGTTTCCAGTTAATAACTTCTGGCTTGCTGAAGATAACTGGACGAAATTTAACTAATAT